TGATGCTGAAACACAGTCACTCACGAACCGCAAATCTCTATTTGTGATGGGCACTCCGTGTGCTCCTTTAGGTGTGTCTCTGATAAGGACACCCGGCAGCCGGGCTAGTGAGTAAGTGCCGTCGCTGGACGTGATAAGCTTAAACATTTCGAAGTCTCTGCAGTAACTGCCATGCGCTACGTCACAGCGATTTTTGTTGGTGACAAAAGTCTTAGCTCTCACCTGAAGGAAAACCTCGTCTCTCCAGAGCTTAGTGAAAACACAGATGGGATTTCCTTCTCCCCATCCAAGCACACCCGCTCCCTGAATTCCCACCGCCTACGTGGCAGGCTGAGAACACTGGCTTTTCAAGAACTCTGATGATTAGACCTGTTTCCCTTCTTGCATTGGCTGCTAGGAAGCTAATGGCCAGTTGTTCCCCATTGAGGTGGTTGCATTGAGACCTAACAGCCAGCTCTGGACAGTGGTCTTTCTGACTCAGGCCTCTCCACTCTGTGTCCTTGATGAAGGGCAAACCCTCAAATAACTGTCATTCTAGAGAAAGCCACAAAAAGGGGAGAGACTCGCCATTGGTTTCCTGATAATGGGTGGTAATGAAGGCAGGGCTGCATTCGAGTGTCCTCCACAGGCACCTTGATTTGTGCTCACCTCTGGTTTCCTCTTGGCTGAAGCCGTCTCAGATTTTTCTGGCCCCCGGAGAGAAGGTGCTGGAATAATAAATAATGATGATGATTAGACCAGGTGACCCATGGTAGGGGCCAGGCATGTTCCAACCACTTTTACCACATTTACTTGACTTGTTGGTAAAGGAGAACTTTGACTCTGCTCATGACACGTCTGACACTAACTACCCAGAATTGGTGCAGACCCCTCAGGTGAAGGGCTCAGCCCCCAAGGACTGTCCACCCCACCCCCACTTCAGAAGCCAGTCGCCGAGTCCCAGATTATCACCTATGCATTTTGACCAGATGGCTATAAATCAGGGATTTTCATGACCACCTCTGTGGGCTGATAAATCACCAGAATGACAGAACATGGGAAGACACTTTACTCACATTTACAATTTATCGTAAAGGATGCAACTCAGGAACAACCCATCGGAGGAGACGCACAGAGGCGTCATCACGGAGGCACGGTTGATGAGTAACTCAGTCTTGTCCCTGGCCTGTCCCTGGAGGATGCGGGGGTGGGGCTGAAAATGTCATGCCTCAAGTTGTGGCTGGTCTTTCTGGTGACCAGGCTCCATCCTGAAGCCATGCAAGGGCTCACCAAGAGTCACCTCATTAGAGCAAAAGACCCTCCTGTGACTTAGGAAATTCCAAGGGATTTAGGAGCTCTGGGTCAGGAAAGGGGGCCGAGACCAAATAGAAATTTCTTAGGATGTCACAGTCGAATACTCACAAAGCCACGTGAGTAGGTTACTCATATTAACTGCACTTTACAGGTAGGCCTGGAACCTGCCCAGGTAGCCCAGCAGCTAATGATCATCAGAGCTGAGCTTCAAACACTGGGGGTCCAGAGCCAGACCGTAGGCCTTAACCATAGGGCCACCCTGCCTCTCTGGGCCTTTCCTGAGATGGCACCTTCTGGTGGGGAGAGGACCAGGGGCTCACCCGATCCCAGCCTTCTGATGATACAGTAAGAGACTGGAACAGAACACGTTGTCAACAAAAGGAGAAGTCAGGCATCAAGGAAATTACTCCAGGAACAACCACGGTTCATAGTTTTGTGAGATACACTTTTGTATCTTGCTTTTCAGACTTGGCATTATAGCTCGTGCATTTCCATATACCATAGCTTTTATTTTACTTTATTTTTTTAAAAATCACTATCTCTAAATGGCTGAATAACATCCCACCATCTGGGTATCCTGTAGTGGTTTTCAGTATCTCCCACCATCAACCATGCCAGCCGTCTGTGATTTGGTTGATGATGGTATTTTGCTGTCATAATTAGTACAGCAATGAACATCTCTGTTCTGTGTACAGAACTTGTCACTTTTGGAATTACTTTCTTGTTAAGAAAAAAAAGTTTCCCAGAAATGGGCTTTCTGGTCAATGGAAAAAGAACAGTTACCAGTTTTATCTGATTGTAACAGTGATTTGGATGATGAAAAGGAAGAAAGTGAAAATCCACTCGGAGATGACTTTTCTTGCTGTTGACTCCCCCTGCCCCTGTGTATACAGCTGCGGAGACGTGCACCCTAAGCTGAACTGTTATTTGGTAACAGAAGTAGGGGAAAAGGAGATGTAACCATGTGAAAAATGATCCTTCAACCCCCAAGGTGCCTTCTGATCTCAGAAGTGATACTAGGATTAAAATATGCATCAGAAACAAGAAGATATAATGTGTGTTTTATATATATATTTTACTCCCCCCAAGTGGGGATTAAAACGCATAGCTTTTGTCCCTATAACATTTCCCATTTTGTTCCTTTTAATGCTGTTTGCTTTGAATTTCACTAGTCTAATGTGGAAGCTGTGAATTCTGCTGTTGTCTTGGTAACATTGGCCCAGTCTTCCTTTTTCCTATTTCTTAATTTTCCATCTCCCCTGGCCCCTCGACTTGGTTGCTGGATGTTAGGCATGTCTGTTTTAAAAGGCATGAAGCGACTGCCACCCCCGCCGCCCCATCACCTCTGTAGCCTGAGCCTGCCTCTTGCCCAGAGTAACATCACTTCACTTCCCACGCCGGCGCCTCTTCCTTGGAAGGGACTCTGGGCCACTGTGATAAATCTTGTAACTGTATCTGTGGACGCACCAGCTTGCTGGACATCTAGGTTGTTTCCACTCCTTTGACAAATGGAGCTGTGCCCCGGCCCAGCTTGCGCTTCACCAGTGCAGGGAGCATCCCTGAGCCACCCCGGGGGGTTCTGAGCTGGAGCGGACGCGGCGCCCCCCACTGCTGGACTAGTGGAAAGCAGCTCAGGCGACAGCTGTGCGGTTTTAAGTGCTCCTTCCAGGAATGTGCCTGTAGGATGAATTGGTTCTGTCGTTTTCTGTGGCCTCATTTGGAAGAGGGAAAAAAGAGGCGGCCTTCATGTCCACCGTGAGGGGGTGGTCATGTGAATTTTGGATCCCCCTACTGAGGCAGCTAGGGCAGCTGTTAAAAATTAAAAGTGAGGCCATCTCTGTGTATAGTAGACATGCCAGGAGGGGAAAGTTGCAAAGCAGAACTTTTGGTAAATTCCAGTCTGTGTTTTAAAAAAAAAAGAACTGGGTGTGCACAAATGTGACTGCATAGCCTGCGTGTTTGCATGATGATACGTGCTTGCGGAAGGTTCTGGAAGGACACGCCATGTTGTTACTGGTCCCTCTAGTTAACCTCTGCGGTTGGTGGCATCCTTGGAGAGGAACTAATGTTTGTACACTTTAGTGTGTTGTCTCTTTAAAAAAAAAACAATAGGTGATACATGGCAGTAATAAAACAAAATTAAAACCAGAAATACTTGCCGGGGGTGGGAGGGTGTTTCGTTCCTCTCTTGTGAGGGTGAGCAGTGGGACCTGGGCCTCCCCTGCCCTCTGACAGCCACTCTGTTGCTCCCTCCCCAGAAGAAGAAGGGGAAGGAGGCAGGGTCTGGAGGCTCACTGCCCCCGCCCCGCGGCCCCGCCCTGGCCCCTGAGGCCCGGGCCCCTCACACCAGCTCCCCAGCCGCTGCCAAGAGGAGCAAGGCCAAGGCCAAAGGGAAGGAGGTGAAAAAGGAGGTGAGGCTCGCTGGCCACAAGGCAGGTCCCTGCTCCCCATGGGCCCAGGCTTGGGTGAACTGCTCTGTTTGCTTGACAAAGGGGGGCCTGCCTGAGTGTCCCCTCAATCTCACCCATCCCTCATGCGGCTGCCTCAGCCCATTTCGTCCTTCTTCTGGCCTAGGGAGTGACCCGGCTGGGGCCCCACTGCCCATGTGGCAGACCCCACCACGGCCTGACTGTGACCCCGGGTTTCCAGGGAGGGTCCCGGCTGGACAGGACTCGGTTGTCATGCCCTAAGCAGATGGTCTGTCCTTCTCTGTCCCCAGAACCGGGGGAAGGGGGGAGCCGTGAGCAAGCTCATGGAGAGCATGGCTGCCGAGGAGGACTTTGAACCCAACCAAGACTCAAGCTTCTCTGAGGACGAGCATCTGCCACGTGGCGGGACTGTGGAGCGGCCACTAACTCCGGGTGAGTACCTGTGATGCTGTGTTGACTTGGGCCTGGAATATGACAGTGCAGGAGGTTCCCATGGAGCAGTCACCAGGGCCTGAGATGGGCTAAGCTAGCATGGAGAGGGGTGGGGAATAGAGTGACGGGGGCAGCATGTGCAAAGGCCCTGGGGTTGGGTGGGTGCACAGTACCACCGGTAAACTCAAGGAGGGCCAGCCTAACCCTGGGTTGGTAAGCAGGGGGTGAGAGAGCAGCCCTGGGCTAGGGAGCAGGCAGAAGCAGACTACCCAGAGTCTCGAGGGCCTGGGTAGGAGTTTGGTCCTCGCCCTGATGTAATCACAGAGCTGCCAGTGGTCAGATCAGTTTAGAAATGAACTCTCTGACTGCTGAGTAGAGAGGAGTTGGAGGGGCTGGGGAAAGGGGTGGTGGGCAGGGAGCTCGGTTGAGAGGGTTGTTGAAAGGATCCAGATGAGTGGTGGGGCTGCCGTGGCGGCAGCAGGGAGGGAGACGGGGTGGGTTTGAGCTCATTAGGAGGGAGACCACATGGGCTGTGGGCTGGGCTGTGTGAGCAGGTGAGGGGAGAAGAGGTGTGGAGGGGTATGGGGGATGAGGAGCAGCTGTCACAGAGATGGATCACAGAGGGGAGCGGGGGACGATCATGTGCTGGGCTTTGCTGGCTGGAGTTGGGGCTGCCCGGAGGGTATCCCAGGGTTGTGACATCCAGTAGGCACTTGGACCTGGGGACCTGGAGCTGGGAGGAGAGACTGAGGATATGAATTGGATGGGGATGAGGGTGGAGAGAGAGGAGGAGCAGAGTCAACCCTGAAGAACTTTGTCACCTGGTTTAGGAGTTTATCTGTCAGCTACTGCTATACAACAGCCAACTGCTCAGACTCAGTGGTGGGTGGCAATAAGTTGTCAGCAGAATGGTGGGACTGGCCTCATTTAGGCTTGCTCCCATGATGATGGGATGGCTAGGGGTCTGCTGATGCAGGGACTGCTCTGCCCCCCTGCCACTTATCCACCTGGAGCACTGGGCTGGCCAAGGTGTGTGCTTCTCGTGGCCCTGCAGCCAGATCCTCTAGAGGAGAGTAGAACCTTTGAGGCCTCCTGAGGCCCAGGTCCAGAATCAAGCACTTCCTAACCTTGTCCACTGTCCAGAGGAAGCTATGTGGCCATGCCCAAGGTGGAGAGGTGGGAAGTCCACTCCACCCACGGCGAGGCTGTGGCCGGGGTGGGGGTTCAGGCAGGGACCAGGAAGTGGGCCCATTGTTCTGTCTGCCCAGCGGGCCTTGGGTCTCTGTGTGAGATAACAACGAGGAGGGGCCAGACTCAAGGTCCTGCAGGGAGAGAAGAGCAGCCCCTAGGGGCCGAAACAGCGTGGCGGGGCCCAGAGGAGGAGAACTGAGGGGCGCCTGGGGCGGGGGTCCCAGGAAGGGATGGTGTAAACCGGGGAGTGGTCCTTGGCGGCGATGGGGAGTGGTAGCCTTGGGCTGAGGCCTGGGGGAGATAGGGGAGTGGGGAGGGGAGTGCGGACAGCCTGGCCGTGGGAATCGGTTTCCACCAGAGCAGACAGCTTTCCAGTGGGACAGCTAATGGCACAGCCTTGGGGGTGTGGCTGAGGGGGCGGCGGTGGAGTCTGAGGACGCAGAGCCAGGGCCCAGAGAGAGGGGAGGGGCATCACGTGCAAGTTGTCACCCCGGGTTCACAGCTGCCTGAGATCTTGGCAGCCACTGGGGCTGGGAGGGGAGCCCGTCTGTGCGGGCTTACAGCGGTGCAAGCCACCCACACTCATGCCTGCAGGCACCCTGGGCCTTCCCCTCTGGGAGGGGTGATGAGGCTGACCAGGCTGGCTTGGCAGAGGGGAGACTCGGAGAGGGAGGGTCTCACGCTGCCCCTGCCTCACTGCCCCCACCGCAGCCCCTCGCTCCTGCATCATCGACAAGGACGAGCTGAAGGATGGCTTGCGCGTGCTCATCCCCATGGACGACAAGCTGCTGTATGCGGGGCACGTGCAGACCGTGCACTCGCCGGACATGTGAGTAGGGCTGGGCCGGGAGCCTGAAGACCGTCACCCAGTCCTGTGTCCAGGGGGCCTGGCTGGGCGTCTCCAGGCACATTGCTTCACCTCTCTGAGCTGCAGCTTCCCCTCCACAGGGCTGGGCTAGTGGTGCGTCCCTTGCAGGGGCTTGGGCCAGCTCGGAGGACTCTGGGAAGACAGTACACTCTGAGGGTGTGCCGGGGTGGGCACGGCGGGCCCCCAGGTGGCAGGGGCTCAGTGGGAAGGGGCAGGAGAGAGCGTGCCGGCCTCTCGTGGATCTGTGGCCTCTCGCTGTGCAGATGAGGAAATGGAGGCCCAGAAGGGGAGGGACCTGCCCCAGGTTTACACAGCAAATCAGAAAGCCCTCAAGCTCCAGCATGGCATCCTGGTAGTCCAGGAGGTAGAGCTGGTGCTCACTGGTGGGGCTGGGAGTCTGGGGCACGGGGCTCCCCACGGGAACCTCACAGCACACTTGCCCTGGCCTTGCAGATACCGTGTGGTGGTGGAGGGTGAACGCGGGAACCGGCCCCACATCTATTGCCTGGAGCAGCTGCTGCAGGAGGCGGTGAGGGGGAGGGGAAGCGGGGCTGCTGGGAGGATGGGGCTGGGGCTGTCGCTGTCACCACCTGGCACTCAATCCTTCACCTTCCCAGATCATCGACGTGAGGCCAGCCTCCGCTCGCTTCTTGCCGCAAGGGACCAGGATCGCAGCCTACTGGAGCCAGCAGTACCGCTGCCTCTACCCGGGCACCGTGGTCCGAGGTGAGACGTTCCCCTCTCCCCAGACCCTCCCCGGCACCGGTTTCATAGCCTGTCGGCATGGATTCATTCATTTCCTGAAACCCAACTCACATGGGCTTACGCATAGTTTTATCGGCTTGTGTAAACGCAGACAGACAGGGCCTTTGGGCAGTGTTCGCACAGTGTCTTCAGGACCCAGCTCCCAGCATCCATCAGCCCATGGTGCTCTCACCCATGCTGGCTTCACCCCGGGCTCCTGGGGGCTGTATCTCACCATCTCAACAAACCTTGCCATCAGAGAACTCCCCCCTTTTCCCGTCCGAGTCCTGGGATGGAGCCCCACTGACCTGGCTTGGGTCACGTGGATTTCACTGACTGCCGTGAGTCTGATCCGCCAGCCCCGGTCTTGTGCTCGTCTTTGCTCACGAGTGAGACTGACGTCCTCATTCTGTGTGTGGACCGAGAGATGGGCAGGTGGCTTCCCCAGGAAAGTTGATGTTGTTAGCAGATGAGAGAGATTGGGAGCCGGGCAAAATAGCAGGTAGCCCAGAAGCCGTGGCTCTGGGCGTCAGACAGACAGACAGCATGCCCCTCGGCGTTGGAAAACCTTGTCCGGGAGACGAGGATGTGGATGTTTGTTATATCCAGAGAACAAAACCAGGTGCCAGTTGTCGCGTGCCTCTTGGCCACCTGACGTCACCCGTACAAATCCAGAAGGTGGGGACTGGGGATGCTGGGCAGGAAGTCTTCTTAAAAAGGTCAAAGTGCGTCTTGATGCAGCTCTCCCAGAGCGGTCTGTCCCCCTGCTGCCCCACGGGTGTCACCCGCGGAACTTCCCTGCGCCGTCAGTCTGAGCCTTGCGGTCCTCCGTCTCCTGTGCCACGCCCCCCCCAGGCCGTGTGGCTTTCTGAGAAAGAGTCCACGGGAGGTAGGTTCCTCGAGTACACACGTGCCTCAGATCGCCTGGTTCCAGCCTGTTCTTCAGAGCGACTTGAACTGGTGTGAGTTCTAGGCTGGAAATAATTTCACCTCACCTTTTCAAAGTCACTGTTCCATTTCTATCTAGATTTTGACGTTGGAGGCATTCAGCGCCAGGGTTATTCCCACATCTTCATGAGAGACTGGCTTTTTAAAAAACTCTGGAAAATGAGGATCTTCTCATAATTCCTAGATGGAATCATGTGCTTGCTCTGTGTGTGTGTGTGAGCGAGTGTGCGTGTGTGTGTGAATGAGTGTGCGTGCGTGTGTGTGTGTGTGTGAGCGAGTGTGTGTGTTTTGCTGGGCGTTTGGGGGAAGGGGGCTTAGACTTTGAGGCAAATTTCCTTCATTCCCGGAAACTTCCCTTGTATTCCTTCTTTGAGCATTTCCATCTCACTTACTCTCTTTCCCCTGGAACTCACACATCTGGTGGCCCTCAACACTGGTTTTTATTTTCCCCCCAATGTTGTCTATTTCTTTATCTTTTTGTTAAACTTTCTGGGAGATTTCTTCAACTCTACCTTCTCTCTTCCATTGAATTCTGGATATTTCTGCTGTCATTAAAAAAAATTCCCAGCAGTTCTTTCTCATTCTCTGACTGTTCTTTTCTTTTATAACCTCTTTTTGTTTCACGTATACATTTTCCAAGGATACGTCGTTTTCACATTGTGTTTCTGCTTTTCCCTTCCCCTCTCTCTGGGGGCTCTGTGCCTGTTCTTTGAGTTCGCAGAACCTCTCTGTTCTGTGTCTTTTATTAGAGGCTGTTCTTTGGCCACTGGAGCTCCTTAGCAAGCAGGCTGCAAGCTCCACGTGTGGGCAGGCCCTCCTGACGGCGGTGGCAGGAACGTCTTGTTGGGGGACACAAGTACAAGCACCTGTGGCTCTTCTCCCATCAGATGGCCCAAGGCCTCTGTCCTTGGGGATCCGGATTCAGCGCCTGGCACTTGGGAATGAGGCTGGGGGTCATCCTTAGTGTGTGGACTCCCCGTCACCCCTGGTCAGCAGGGTGCCCACCACCCTCTGCTGTGCCCAGTTAGGCATAAACCTCCCAGCTCCTGCTGCCATGTGACCCCTGGTTTGTCCGGTGGTGGGGTCCCCCACACCTGCCTGCAGAGGAGCTTGGTGCTCAGCAGAGGGTGTCCCAGGGCTCCCCAGGGCTGAGTCTTTCCAGGGTTCCCCTGTGAAAACCGGGTTCCTTCTCGGTGGTGTCGCCTCCTTCCAGGCCCCTGACCGAGCAGAGAGCCCAGAATGAAGGCAGTTCTGCTCGTCCACACCAATGTCTTCCAGAACGCAGGCACTGTCACCACCACTGGCCCCTTGCCTGCTCCCTTTGTCCTTGGTGGTCCCACCCTAGCCGTGTCTTTGTTGGTCTGGGGGTCTTGGGAGTGGCACAGGCATGTGTCCCGAAGTTGGGGCACATTTGGCTGGAACAGGGGAGCCTGTACCCGCCAGTGCTGTGTGGCTCTGAAGCTACGTTCTGCTCCACTGCGTACCCACTCTCGTACTCCCCCCTATGCCCTGCGCCCGCTGGGAGCCACAGGTCCGCTGGCCTCCCTGACCCTGCCCTTCCTCCACCAGGCTTGCTGGGCCTCGAGGATGACGGGGACCTGATTACCGTGGAGTTCGATGACGGGGACACTGGGAGGATCCCCCTCTCCCACATCCGCCTCCTGCCTCCTGACTATAAGATCCAGTGTGAGTGGTGATCCTGCCGCCCAGCTGGGGTGACCCCTTCAAGCTGGCTCTCGGCTCTTTCTGCAGTTTGGACCGTTTGCACCCACAGGGGTGGAAGTGGCAGAAAGCGTGGGTGGGGGCCCCCAGGGTGGGATCCGGAGGACTGTCCCAGGGCTTCCCAGGTCTGCATCCCGAGGCCCATGGGACCAGCCGCAGGCTGGGCGGTCCCGGCCAGGGCAGGGATCAGTAACGTTATTGACACTTCCACACTCGTGCGTCCGTGATAGTGTCCAGGTCTTGTCTGGTCCTATGTGTCTGGAAGTTCCATCACTTTGACTGACCAATATGAAACTGAGGTTTAAGGAGGTGAAATGGCTTATTCAGGGTCCAGTGACTAGTTAGAGGCAGAGGCAGGATTCAGATGCAGGACTGCTTGACTTCTAGAACATCCTCCAAATGGATCATTAAAACCGCAGAGTGAGCCTGGCTCATTCACTGGAGGAGCCTTTGTGGAGCCTGTGTGCAGACACCTGAGCTACATCCCTGCTTCGGGGCCTCCTGCCTGACCGCCCAGCTATCCGGGCAGGCCGAGTGGGTCTGCAGTGTCATCTGGTTCCTCCCCATCCCTTCTCCCCACAACAGACGACACTCTGGGGGCCAGGGGAATGGAGACCCAGGCCTGAGCCACAGTCTGTCCTGCCCGGCAGGTGCTGAGCCGTCCCCGGCCCTCCTGGTGCCGAGCGCCAAGCGCCGCAGCCGGAAGACCAGCAAGGACACTGGGGACAGCAAAGATGGGGCCACGCCCGGGTCCGAGGAGTCCGGTGCCAAGGCGCGGGGGCGCGGACGGAAACCCAGCACCAAAGCCAAGAGCGGTACGTCGGCTGTGCCCAGCCCGCCGGGACGCCAGGCCTGCACACACAGGCCTCTGCACGGAGACCGCTCCCCGCCTCTGTGGGGCTCTGTGTCGCCAGGCTGTTCAGACTTTTTGACAGATTAGGGAACTGTGGCTCAGGGAGGCGTGTTGATCTGTTGGAGGCAGAGCTGAGATTCATCCAGCCTGTGCTCCCACTGGATTCCAGAGCAAAGTGCTTCAGGCTCAGGGGCCAGATTGGGGCCAACATGCGTGGACGATGGTGTGCGAGAGCCACTTGTCCCCAGACCCCAAGCCGCTGCCGCCCACCCTCTGCCGGGCATGGGCGCCGGCGCCTTCTTGCCCAGGGAGTGGGCCGAGGAGCGGGCCTTGCCCGCCTGCTTGGGTGCCTTGCTGGGCAGGGCCGGCGGGGCTGGGTGACTGGCGGCACCTCGACAGAAGCCCTGGCCCTGGCCCTGGCCTCAGTGTGCGTTTTACTACTCTCTTCTAGACAGAGCTGCTGTCCTGGAGGAGGGGGGCTCAGCGGATGAGGTCCCCAGTACCCCTTTGGCCTTGGAGCCAATCAGCACCCCAAGTTCCAAGAAGAGCCCCCCAGAACCCGTGGACAAGCGGGCCAAAGCCCCCAAGGCTCGCCCAGCACCGCCACAGCCAAGCCTCGTGCCATCCACCTTCGCCAGCCTGCCCGGCTCCAGAGCCCTTTGGGGAGCTGCCGGGGCCCCGCAGCCCTGGCTCCGCCCCGCTCGTCACCATGCCCGCTACCGCCC